CTTTGAAGAAAGACTTCAAAGAAAGAGACTCAATCCTAATAGACATGATATGAAGCCCCTTCCCACAATAACAAAAAGCCGAACAAAGAAAAAAAGAAAAAAGTTGAACAAGAAATTCATCAGAGTAAAAGGAAACCAAAAACCAGAGGAGGAAGAATGGAAACTAATGAATGAATGAAACATTGTCAGTCAGTTGTAACCTTTGATCCTTATTGTTAACAATTTTTAACACAAGTTACAGAATGCAGAGTGAAGCATGAATGAAAATAGAGGCTTATTTTTACTCCTTGACTTGACAATAAAGGGCAAAAACAACTTGTTATATCAGAATACCTTGTTAAATTATACGCACAACCAAATTTTTTAAATTATTATTAAGTCAGTTATCAGTTTTTTTTTAAAAAGCTACCACTATTGAATTACCTATAATCGCATGGACACATATATGGGTGACAAATGTGCTAAGTCCTTGTGTCTGAATTTCAATAAGACTAAGCCATTGATACATACCCAAGTATTGAGTGATAGTGTTACCAAATTCATGGCCTCTGTAAAAGGCGTAAAGAGAAATAAGCGGGTACAGAAAATCCACCACATCCAACTCGAAAGATATTGATCCACAACTGAAGTACACTCTCAACTGATTCAAACTAGACAATCATAATAAGAGGAGACAGCTGAATTGTGGTTTGCCTGCAGGGCACCATAAAGGGCACTACAGATTCTCAAGTACTTTAAATATAAATAGCTAGGTTTATCTAGCAAGGATTACTATGTAGCTAAACCCTCTAAATTTATCCTTGTAAGGCCAGAATAAGAAACATTCTTTTAAGGACAGGAGTAGAAGACATTTTAACATATAACCACTTCATTATTTTGATCAGGAATCATCTTGAATTCTTTTATGATCACATTACAAATAAATGCTTAACTCAGCTAGATATTTCTCATGCATCACTAGTGAAAAAAATAACACCAAATGATCGATACAGAGATAATTATTTGTAAATTCGCATGAACCTGCGAATAATTTATCATAGTATCAGAAGATGTAATTATACCTGAAAATTCTGAGCTAAAACGAGAGTAACATATGCCAGGTTGCACTGCACAAGTAAAAATCAACAAGTCACCAAGTCAAATACCACACAAAATGATGGCCAAACCCGATAACAAATTCTCAAACACAACATGCAGATTAAAAGAGTAAGACCACCTTAACTTGCTCTTCTGTTAAACGAGAAACTAATACAAATATAACTGATACTATGCACTAATATTGATCAAGACTTCATCATCAGAAACTACCCTTACCATTCGGCGAGAGACTCTTTCCACACCATTATCAAGAATAATGGTCAGTGACCTATTAAACATATCAATTCACATTAGCAACTACCATCAACCCACATCCAGTAAGAAATTGTTGCTGGGCGAAATTTGAAAATTTACCAAAAGAGAATGCAAAGAATCCAAACTCTAGTTCTTGCCCATCTAATATTAGGTCCATTCTTGGTTGATGATTCCTCTCCAAATAAAATAAGGTATCCTAAGTTCACACCCACAAGGTACATACCCCAATATCCTGCAAGATAAAAATAACATGTTAATGGATCTTATGATGGAAACTGAGGGAAAATGATTTATGCTAAAGACCTATTTCCATAAGATTGTTGAATATTGTTCAAATCTATACATACTCTCAAAAGCAAGTAGGAAAAAAATATATCACTTTTTTCTCCTAAAATGGTTAATGCAGGTGACAACATTTGTTTAAATTGATAGTGACAAATCTAGATGGTAACTAGCTTAATTTATGGAGATAATTATTTACAGGAAAAACTTCTTAAATTCTAAACTCTTATTTACAGAACTTTTGATTAAATATTTTATTTTATTTTTTTCCGCTTACATTTGATTATACCTATCAAAAAATAGAATCCATCTATAAGCACTAGCTTAGCTTTACTTTTTACTGAATTCTAGATTGCCTTCAACAAACGTAAACAATAGTTTAAATATACATCTCATAGATTCCCTAGAGCTTTGTCATGCAAAATATATAAAGCCCAAAATGTATTGATGAGATATTAAACATGAACACTTTTTTCTTAACAAATTTTTTAAAAGGAAAATGATTCACTGCTGATAAAAACATCAGATGAAAGCAAACAATGAAGAATAGATATATTTTATATGACTACAGTTGGCTTTATTTTACTTTACCATTTGGCCATATTTTTTAAACATATATCAACTTTAAGAGAAAGTAGGAAGAATTTATTTATCCATCTTATCTCTTAGCATCGGTAATTCAGATGTCTATGCTTCTTTATGATTCAGACATGGGATGTTTTGATAGGAACTTCGTAGTTTAAATGGAGAAGAATAACTGAAACCAAAACTTATTAAATATAACTTCCATAAAAAATTAAGCTCACGCTATAAAAGTAAAACCTGATAATACAATGTTGTTTCTTTTTTAACTACATATTTTCCATTACAATCTATCTGTACACGCTTTCTACTTCTTCATAAGCTCACGGGTACTTGCCAACAATGATAAAGGGTGAGACAACTAGTGAGTCAGGATGTTACACCAAAAGCAGATCACAGAGTTAGAGTGTCGACTTACGCGCTTAAGAATTCTATAGAGGCTAGGCAATGGATTTTATTGATTAGGCAAAATGTCAATGTGCTATGTTATTGATAAAGAACAAGATGAAGATTTACTAACCGAAATGATGAATCTGTATCAAATTTGAACTTGTAGGCTACAAACTGGTTTTGTGCTGAAATCTGACTTTGAACTAGCCTGAAGAAGAAAACGAATCAGCAAAGGAATAAGGCACTGTTTCACGCAAGCAGTAATCATGAATTACTGTTCACGTGAACAGTTGCACGAAATTGATAAAGGTAGCAGTTTGCTTGGGAGGATTGGGGACCTTTTTTGTCATATGAACAGCAGAGAATTTCTAGGGGCCTGGATTT